TTCCTTCCTTCCTTCCCTCCCTCTTTCTCTACTTTCTCTTTCATTCTTTTTCTTCCTTTCTTCTTTCCCTGCTTTCTTTCTTTCAGTCTTTTTTCTTTCTTCTTTTCCTCCTTCCTTTTCTTCCATTCTTCCTTTCTTTTTTCCTTCTTTCTTTTTTTCCCCCTCTTTTTCTTTCCTTCTTTATTTCTATTTTTTTTTCTTTCCTTTTTTTTCTTTTTTTTTTTCTCTTTCTCTCTTCCCTTCCTTCTCTCCCCAGGCACACGAATCATACAATACTCGCATTTCTGCTGAAAGCATTTCTCCCACGGCACTGCTATGTATGGAATCGCTACACACACAAACTGTATGCACATATCCCTGGATGTGTCCTGCCTCGTGTCCTTGTTAAACCAGCCACCCCTCACGCCATCGGCCGACACAGAGCTCCCGCTGCAGCCCTACTCTCCCAGTGCCTGGGAAGCACAGGAGCCCCGCCAGCCCGGAGCTCCCGCGGCAACATCCGTAGATGTTTGCATTGGTCTCAGCTTCTCCACGGAGCGGCGGACAGAGCCTGGGCCAGGGGCCTCGGTGCTTTCCCCTCCCGGCCGCTGCTTCAGCGCTCCCTTAAGCCTGTTAGGGACACACTCTCATGTCCTGAAATGTGCAAGCACATAATTGTTGGCGCTCTATCTTTGTGTGAGGAGGCCAGGGTGTAAATGGCTTTTAATGACTGCAGCTGCTGGCTGCAAACTGTCAATGGGGTTGCCTAATGCCGAGCTCGGACTCGGAGGGCGCAGCGTCGCAGCCACCGGGCTGGCTCAGCCCCCGACCCCCGCCGCCAGCAGCGCGCAGCGGCGCGGAGCTGCGCGGAGAGGAGTGCGGGGCCGCGCGGGGCTGCGCGCACAGCGGGAGCGGCCAGAGGCAGCAGGAGTGCGGCGGAGAACGGGGCTGGGCAGAGACTGCCCTCTCGGCTGGGAAAATCCTTTCCGGATCCTGTAAGTTTCCTACGGGCAGACGGAGGTCCCGAGGGGGACAGTCCTGGGGTGCCGACTAGGGCCCCGGCCCTTCCCCTCCCCGCGCTACCGGGGCTCGGGGTGCGGGGGTGACAGGCGGGGTGCCCCCTCGACGCTGCCGGCAGCCGTCTGCAGTCAGCCCTGATCCCACATGATTAATTGTTTTAGCTGCTAGAACGATGACATGTGGCTCTGCAGGGCAGGGACACCTCCCCTCCTCCCCACCCCCTCTTCCCAACTCCCTCCTCCCCAACCCCCCCCCCCACAAAAAAAGAAAAAAAACACCGAAAAACAAAAACCCACCTCCCCCTCAATAAGCCGGGACGAGCCTGTGCTGTCTGTCGAAGGGAGCCCTGCGAAGTTGTGTGTGTGTGCCGGGCAGCCGACCTGAAGGACTTTTCCGGGGAGAGGAAGGGAAGCAGAGAAGGAAGCTCTTTTATTTCACCGTTTGTTTTGATGGCAGCTCCCGGGAGGCTGCGATTTTCTGCCGCCTCGTTGCTGCCCCTGCATCCCGGCTCGGGAGGGACTTCGCCGCCACTCGCAGGGGCCACTCGCTCCGTTCCGGGAAGGAGCGGGTGTCCGCGGGGCCGAGGCAGAGGCGGGCTCAGAGTGTGGATCCGCGGCGGGAGAAGGGGGGGAGAGGAGGAGAGCAGGGCAGGGGATGGAGGAGCCATGGCGTTCGCCTGGCCCGGATTATGATTATTATTTTCATGAGGATTTAATTGATTTTTCTGTCATTCCGCAGTGGTAAGGGCTGACAGTTCAGACTAACTGCCGTCTCTACAAACGTGTGTGCCCTCCTGCTTCCTTTCCTCTCTTTCTCCCTTTCTTCTTTCCTCTCTCCCTTCAGCCCCGATTTCCCAAGATAAATGAATGCGCATTTGATGGGTGTGTAAGATGTGGCCCATTCGGCTCCCGTAACTCAATCCTGTTGATGCAATGTGTGTTGAACCGGTTGTGCTCAGCGACATGTGGCCAAGGGACTTTTTTTTTTTTTTTTTTTTTTTTTTTTTA